TGCATTGACTCTAACCAAGTTTTTTGAAATGAGAAATAAATTGACATAAGAAAAACAAACATTTCAATGGACGTAGCGTTGTCCATACATTTATTATTTCTTAATTTGAGTACGTTCATACAAAATTGAATTTGTCAGCCCATACGTTAATAAGATTATTTTCTCTACTAGACTTGAACTTTCCAAATTCAATGTGTCTATTTAATACATATTGCTGAAAAACTGAGGAAGCAAAAAATGAAATATATATTCCTTGAATACCCATAATTTGTGATTCTAAAAGAATTTTTAAATTTTGCTTCTAATGTTTGTGAAAATTTTACTGAAATGTGAAATGATTTCAGATGCTATTTTCACTTGTCTTACATATGTTAAGCATTCTTATGATTATTAATATTTCAATATTAATAAACATAAGAATGCTTAACAGTTCAATTTTGTATTTATTTTTATTCTATATAAATTGCAGGAAATCTACGTAAACTTGTTTAGAATATGTTATAAAGATAAAAAGTACATTATTCATATTTGTTACTCACCCTCTGCTTTGATTCAACACATTCTAGAAAAAAATAAATAAAAGCTTGAAATGTCTTTGAATTATTATGTTAAACTAGCTATTTGAACGTAGATCTATACAGATTGGATGATAAACACAAAAATATATCCTTCATCTTAAGTATTCTTTTCGCTAAATAACGTCTTTCTTATTACTGCTGCAATTTTTGACTTATCTATTTAATATTCCTAAGAAAAAAGGTCTAATACACTTATATGAAATTGTAAGTATTTATCAAAATGATAATCATTGATTTTTATCATATTCATTCATATATGAATGTGATTAATCATCAACATGGAAATATACTAATTATTTTTCCTTGTTTTTATGCTTATTTTCTATTTCAAAATCAAATTAAAAAATAACTGAAAGTTGATTAATATATTAAGTAAATTGACAACTTCTTATTTTTTTTAAAGCTATTTATATAATTTAAATGTTAACAGAAAATGGAATTTTTCTTTTCAGATTCAAGAGTGAACAAATAATAAATATTTGGAAAACACCAAAGGAACGGTGAGAGAACGCCTAGTAAAGGTTAGTCATTCAGGGTATTAGGGAGCACAGAGGAATGGACGAAGGTGTTACATAAAGTAAACTGATGGACGCGTAGAAGACCGCCTAAGGACATTGAAATGCAAATAGGCAGAGTCGAACTGTTCGTATCAAACACTGCCAAACATAGAGTAAAATTGGTCTTAAAAATGTAACTTAGAAATGGCAATGATAAGATATATTAAAGAAGACATAATTTATGAATAAAAATAAAGATGTATTCTTTGGATGGAAAGACATAATTTTAAGCAATATGAATAAATATTTCAGCATGGAAATTTATTTACCTGTGTTATTGACGCAATGACATGATCTGGCACTTAAATTGGGTAAGAGATTTCCTTCTTCCTGTTCTGAATTCTGAACGTTTTGTCTATAATTGAGGTCAACCTTATTTAAAAAAATACATGTAAAGGCATTACTCTTCGATGCCATTTTGGAAGGCATCAGAACACACAAAAATTTACATAAACATATATTTTAAATAATTGTGAAAGGGAAATCATGTTGTGACATTCTGATATTCAAAAGGATCATTATGCAATGAAACTTGAAAGAAGATATACGAATAAACTATAAAAGCTTGCTGTAATTGATTTAAGGAATAACTGTCTAGTTTTTTTGGTTTTATGATATGATCAATCAATTTGCTAGCTTGATAATTTGCAGTAACGCCGAAGGCGTTAATTCGTAAAATTATCACGCGAGCAAATTGATTGATCATCAACATAAAACAAAAAAAAAAAAAACACACACACACAGACAGTTAGTCCTCATATTTACATTTTTACCTGATCCTTGATTAAATTAAAAAAAATCAATAATAAGAAATCTCAACATCCCCACCAGGTGTATTACTAAGCAACACGCAGCAAAAAAGCATGCAGTTCTGAGCAAATCGATCTATGGTTATAAAGCTATTACCATATTTGTAGATTTATCTCAGAGAAAGACATTGGAAATGTAAATATAACTAGGTATGGGATGAACATTTGTCTAATGAACAATATATTAAGGAACATTTAAATCTATCAGATTATGTACATTGTGCTACATGTTATATACAACAAAACTGAATCAACAAAACATTTATCATGACCAATAATCAGGCAAATGACCAAAAGGGTTTGAATACTTCATTCAAAACATTAAAGGACTGTTTGTTTGTTTGTTTTCTTTTTTTTTTTTTGGGGGGGGGGGGGGAGGTTAAAGCATAAATAAAGGTTTTTGCCACAGTAACAATAAGATAATCGTTAAGGAAGCACAATGCTAATAGAAAGGGAATCTTTATTCCTTAAAAGAAAGAGTATACTGTAAAAATTATGTTTAGGAAATAAACACTTCTGTTACATGTTTAGATCTAAACATGTATAGTATTGTGTTTAACAACTAAACACTTATGTCTTAACATGTTTTATATCTAAACGCGTTTAGAAATTAAACACATTTTACTGTAAAGTGCAGAGTCATCTTCCCGGAAATGACAAACATATATTTGAACGTTAATTTGAGCGGCTATCTAAACAAAGAAAACACAACAAGCAAGCTAAGATGATGTATCAAAGAAAGTTAGGACAACCCAATTCAAGGTGTAACCATGAAGAAATAGTGAAACACGTGAAAGGGCATCTTATTACTGCAATACATTAAAGGTTTGTTTTCTTTTTCTTCGATTAATTAACCACGATGAGCAATGTAAATAAAGTTGACTTGGGATATCTTGAATTCGTTCATAGACTTGTAGGAGAGGAAATAATATTAAATGTCAATAAAACATCTATATTTATATCAGTATAGTTTCTCTAAAACTTGAACAATTTTGTTTTTCTAAGTAATGTAAAATATCAGTGATAGTGTACTTTTACTACAATCTGGCTCTCTTTCCTACAGGTACTGTAATGCAGATCGAACTCAAAATACGGTACACGTATCAGAGTATCTGGTGTCATCTTCAAGTGCAATTTTGTTGTTTCATAATCAACACTTTGAATTTTCATTTTGTGAAGACTACTGAGTTAATTCGACAGTGTTTACAATTTTCCTTGTGCATTCGAAATGGATTACTTTCTGGCAGTTATTGATGGGATTAAGACTATAATATGTGTTTCTTTGGAACTTGCTGAAAGTTAATAAAATTTTATATTTTTTGTGATTGACATGAAGAAAACTCTGCAGCCGATTCAAATGATAAATTATTACAATGAATATAGATATAAATACACATTTTGTATTTTTAATTTAAAAATTCTTTAATAAAGCCTTTTAGAAATATTCAAAAAAAGTTTTTATATTAAATTGTCAGCTTAATATTTTTTTCTTAATAATTTTGAAAATTAAAAGTTTGCTATCAATGTGTACGTTATAAATTATGTGTCATTCTGATTGAATTGTTGAGACTAATCAAATCTATTCAGTTCTATCTCCTACATTATTTGTGTAAATTAAGTACATCATACAGTGTCCATTTTATTGCATAGTTAAATATCTATCCCAACGTTCAGTGGCTTTATTGAAAGTAATTAATATCGGTTACATTTTTTGAAAATTTTGACAATTATGCACATTGGAAAACGTACTTTTTGTGCCTAAATTTACGAGAGTGTATTGTTTTTCTGCAGGTACAAATTATACTTATGATGTGCTTAGATATTAAACACTTCTGCTGTTATGTGTTTAGAATTTAAACACTTGTGTTTATGTGTTTAGATGTGTTTAATTTCTAAGCACATAAGTGTTTACATTCTAAACACTTTCTAAGACATGTTTAGAAATATTTCATGTTTAGGAATTAAACATATAAAAAAGGAGGTGACAACAAAGTGTTTAGAAAAGTGTTTGAATTGTAAACACATTTTTTACAGTGTATATTCTTTTATTCAACCACAGAATTATGCTGCTCTTAAAAGATCCAAACATAGATTCTTGTTAACACAACATATATCATGTTCGTTTGCTACTTCGATCATTTTCAAAGTGATGTTTTTACTTTAACCTTTCACGGTTTTCAGTCCTGATTCAAAGGGCAGTATTTAAAATCATGAATAAATTCAACGATTGAAGACAACAAATAATTGTGGTAAAATGGACATCAAAAAACATTTGATCAGAAAAACGCACAAACTTAAAAGGAGTACTAGTTAAGCATTGTTAAGAGTAAATGGTATTTATACGCGACATTGCATAGCGCCATTTCACTCAAGTATTTTTTACATAGCAGTGAAAAAAAAATTCAAAAACAAAATTAGTTTAAAAAGTGAGTATTTTTTTTAACTAAAGTTTCATTCTAAGTAAAAAAAAACACCTCTAAATCAGACATTCTTTTTTAATATTCTCCAAGGAAAAAGTCAGCAAGGTTGAATTTTTGTTTACTGATTGCATAATTAAAATCAATAAGTGTATTATTCGATTGAGAAGTTCTATAAAAGAATTACTGCCCTTTATTCAAAGATAACAAATCGTACGTATACATATAGCCGAGAGCTAAAACACGAAAAATTATAATATAAATACGATTAGCAGCAAAATATTCGATAAATGTTGAGGAACCTACACTGTTTCTTGGATTTAAACATTCTGAAATAAACAAATTAAAAAAAATATATGATTCCTGTGGAAATTTTTTTTTGACAAAATATTTTCTGTTTATAAATTGTACATTTTTTTTAATTAATCAATTAAAGATCAACATATTATGTCATTTGTTAGAATTTACATGTGGATATGCATATCATGAAAAGGTTACTTAAATATTCAAAAATTTGTTTATTCATAGAACTTACTGTATTTTAATTTTTGCTCCCATAATATTCCACTGAGGATTCCAAAGACAAAAAATATAGGGCCAAAGATGAGACCAAGAACTGTGCCAAGATCCTTTCCAGGATTACAAACCCTGTAAAACAATTTACATACTGATGAAATATTTTCATAAGATTTCCCTCGAGTCCTGCTTTTCCTATATATTACGAGATTTATTTCGACATAAATAAATAAAAAAAAATTGAGTACTGACGAGGACGTTCCTTCATTTCTTCTGTCTAGGGTATGTGGAGGGGACATACCAGTCTTTTCCACGCTTCGCAACATCTTTTGGCAAAAAGAATCTGAAAACGTTTAATTTCTTGCATTTTATAATTACCAATAGGCAACACAGGAAATGCAATTATGATAAGTCATTTGTAAGGAACATAGTTAAGGTTATGTATGGTATTTCTAAAATTTATTAATAACCGATGTCTCCTTATAAGCGAGTTCTTTAAAACCGAGTTTTACTGTAAACTCATAAATTAACATTTTAGTTATTAAGGACACATGATACAAACAATTTTTTTATTCTTTGGAGGGGACTTAATATCATGTCACAGTTTTAGAAAAGTGGATAATTCTTTGAATATTTTTCCTTAGAATCGGGGAATGAAATACCTTCCATATACCTTCCCCCCAAAAAGTACACAACTAGAGTAATCATGGTAAAATTGTTTAATCTTCATTCATTTACCCTCCTTTTTTTCTTCAAAAATGTTTCTAAAGGAGCACAGAGTGAACTAATATTACATTTACTCAATAACCTCTTGTATTTTCTAGCAAAAAAGAAATGACACTTGGAAAATTTTAGTTGATACTTCAATAAAATTACAAATATAGACAAATCACACTCAGTAAAGGCTTACAGATGAATATGAATTTTAAAATATGTTAGCTTGGTGCTAAAAGTGTAATATAAACTTTTAAAAAATATACCAAGCCGGGTGAATTTTATGAGGAAAAGCAAAATGGTAAAAATTAGCCTATATGGTATGTGCTGATTTTTACCATTTTGCTTTTCCTCATAAAATTCACCTGGCTTGGTATATTTTCCTAAAGTTTATATTACACTTTTAGCACCAAGCTAACATATTCTGAAATTTATTTTCATCTGTAAACTTTTACTGAATGGGATTTGTCCATATTTGTAAATTTTATTGAAGTATCAACTAATATTTTCCAAGTGTCATTTCTTTTATGCAAGAAAATACAAAAGGTTATTGAGTAAATGTAACATCAGTTCACTCTGTTCTCCTTTAGAAACAGCATTGAAGAAAAAAGAGGGTAAATGAATGAAGATTAAACAATTTTACCATGATTACTCTGGTAATTTTTTGTACTTTTTGGGGGAAATATGGAAGGTATTTCATTCTCCAATTCTAAGGAGAAACATTCAAAGAATTGTCCACTTTTCTAAAACTGTGAGATGATATTAAGTCTCCTCCAAAGAAATAAAATGTTTGTAACATCTGTCCTTAAACCTAAGTGGGCTTAGTTGTTAATCAAATATAATGACTGGATATGCAGCAAAGAGACCTCAATTTTGTAAACTATATTTTTTTGTCTATAACAGATTAGATTTTAATTTTGGTACAAGTAACTACCATAATGAGTGTGTAAAATATTTTGTACTAGAATTGCTCAAAACAGTCCAATCAACCCATTGATATTTGATAGACAGATAAAAAAAACTTTTATGGGAACATGAATACCCTCTTAGGATACAATACATTGACTTTTAGTAAAACACACTTTTTGGAACTTTCGCGACTCTTTGAAATACTTCTCCCTTTTTGTCATCGATTTTAGCTTTCTAGAAAAAATGTTTAGCAATTTTGGACTAATCTTTAAAACCTTTGTATATTAAAAGGCCTTTGGTAGTTCCTAGTGAAAATCCAAGAATTATTATAAAAATCTATCTGATAATGTTGAAGTAATAAACTTGGGAAAAGATTTAAAATCTTTTTTAATGTCTTACAAAGGTGAAATGTCTCTCCAATTTCATATTTTTGGGGTTTTTTTTAAATTTTGAATGTAATAAATTCAAAACAAAATATAACTCACAGTTAAATATGTCTGCGGAGAAAAATGTTTTGGAGCAGCTACTTGAAGTGCAGCGTTCTGTGAATAATACCTGGATATCTTGACTGAAGCTGTCATATCCGATACAATATCCTAGAAAGGAAACAATTCAAACATGCTCCTTAAATTCGAAAACCAAAAATACAAAATCATTTAAATTATAGTGCCAATTAAAGATAAAAAAAAAATTTTACTGTTACGACGAGAAGGCACATTATAAATATAGTGCATGTAACAGTGGAAATTGACACCCCGAGGAAATCCATTGTCAACCGACGCGTCAGCGTCTGTGCCTCAAATACATGCACTATTTACTTTTTTATACTGAATGTCTTATTGATTTAGGATGTCAGCAAAAGAAATTCGGAGATCGTCGTCAAGTTCACGTTAAGAAAGCTTTCAAACTTTCCACTTCTGTTTTTCTCAATAAGAAAGCTTCGAAAAAGATTAACCGACATCTATATTGTTTGTTTAATACTCAGAGAGTCCTTTGTCATCTTAAGTTTCGTTATTTCTGCACTCGCAAGCATTTTTCGTCTATCATTTGTTGTTTTCAATCATGCTACACTGGCTGCAAGCTTTGATTGACGTCAAGATTATTCAGCTTCTTTCAAATGTACAACTGACGTTTTGAAAATTCTACGACTAACCGTATGCGCATAATTTACAAGCATGAGACATTATAGTTGTGTTACCCATTGTCAAGTAAGTTACTTATTCTTAGGGTAACATAATAAATTGTTAAATGCGTCTAAACCAATCAGATTTTAGTATTTAACACGAAAGTATAATAAAACTAGATGGTGTTCAGACCTCAGATATTACTAACCGGGTGAGTAAATTGCTGGAGCACATACTTCGTACAGCTTGTCTTTTGTTGTACTGAGAAGGCAATGATAAACAAAGTCCTCAGGTTTTGAACAGTTTTGCAATTTTGCTAAACTTTCACAATCCTTTTTGTCCTTAGCCGTTTGTAGTTCTTTTGGGTTTTGTGGACAAGCGGGTACAATAGCTAGTGTTGGTTTTGATGCTTTGCAAGAATCTGAGTCACAGACATATGCCTAAATAAACAGAATTTAACCCTGCAAAATACAGTTGTATAAACAAGGAAGGTGGCTTGCATTTCCATGTGTTTATCGCCTGAATGTTGGATAAAAACCTTATGAAAAGAAAGAAAATTTTAATTTTAAAATGTTATGCTAGATTAGTTACTCCAGCCTCGATGGCATACAAGTTTTATCAGAATATCGATTTTATCCCTAGAAATAGTGTTTTATTGTACGTTCTACTAAATTTTGTGATTAAACGGAAGCTTTATAATGTAATTTTTTTTTTTTTTGTAATTTTTTCTTATTACTTTGACCAAGTTCAGTTATTTTTCAATCAGATACACTTTTACTGCTTACATTTATAACATTTGACAAGTATAAAGGTTTAGTATATACTTATATTATAAAGCATATTTGTGAGAAATATAAATATACAAGCCCTTGCCATCTTTAAAAAAAAATATTTGGTTGCCCTCTCTCGACTGATTTGTTAGCATGGCCCAACTCAATACTATTTTGAACTTCCAGGAAACATTTTTTAACGCATTTCTAAAAATATATGTCGAAAATTCAGCATTGATTTTGAAGTTTTCTTGGAAAAAAATATTTCTCACCAACATGTACCTATCGACCAGATTTTTCATCTGGAGTCGGGTGAGGCCAAACAAACATTATTTTAAATTATCATTTAGGACTTGTTTTATTCTTTCCTTCTCACTATGGACTTAAATAATTTCTCTGACCACCTACAACAAAGTTTCTAGAGATATGAATTTTTCACACTTTCTTTCAAAGTAACCAAACCTTTTTAAGGAGAAAAATACAAGTGAAAACAACTATCCGGATATACTGTCTTCTCTTTCCTTTTTTCATCTGCAATAAGCAATAAACAAAAGTAAATTTAAAAATTTATATGATTAAATCTTAGTGCAATTTATAATTTACATTTGTTTGGAATAGAGGAACAAAAAATAATTTTTGACCTGATCTATGAGGAACAACTCGACGAAAAATTCTCAAAGCAGCATACATATAATTGATTGTTCTCTTCTTCTTCTTTTCTTCCTTTATATAACATTTTTCATGCTTTGTTTGCTTGTATGCTAATATGTTTTGTGAAAGCAGTAAATAAAAATCAATAAATGGAGGATATTTAGAGTATTAAATGTTCTTTTTTCAGAATTTATCGATGTGTTAACTTATGCCTTTGTACTCACAAACTGAATAAAAGTGCTAAGTCTACACATGGATAAATCATATATATATATATATATATATATATATATATATATATATATATATATATATATATATATATATATATATATATATTATATATAGAACGTTTACTTCTTATGATTCCAATAACGACGTGTTAAAATTATTTCTCTTTGAAGCCTCCATACAAATCCGTTATTTCTGTACAAGAGCAGGGATACATTATGCCGCGACGTGGAAATGAAACGAAATCGAAGTCTCCCCCGGATTTTACAACTGTCCATGTTAAGGAGGCTCCTGTGACCTTAATGGTAATTGGAACGTGGTGAAATTTCCCAGACTTGTTGCATAATGGTCTTTTTTATAAATATGTCTTTTGTTTGCTTTAATCACATCACGATAAAATTTTAGAAAGAAATTCTACAAACTTTTGGATAACCCTCGTAAAAGTAGACTTCAGAGGAATTCGTCCCTGACCATGTTGAAATTAACAACACACACTTTAAAACAAAAATAGCATACCGACGACTCCTTGATTTGCTCTTGGTTCAGAATATAGGATGTAGAAATATAAATTTGAGGTCTGACAGTCTGAGGTACGTTTCTCTTTCCTATCAGCGCTTCCGAGAACTGAGTGATTTGCTTAGCTTTAGGAACGACAATAATATGACATCAGGGATTTAAAAATTCACACTTGTGATCTGACAGTAACATATAACGCATTCCAAAATCAAAACAGAAAATCTTTTTTTTTCTGTTTTAGGCATTTTGCCCTTAGGTATTGACAAAATCCAACAAAAACACAGTTTTATAGGATATTTATTGATAAGATTGTGAAAAATCAGCATTTTTCTAATGGAAACACGATCTAGTGTCACAAATAAACTGAAATGTAAATATTTGGAGGAAATATTGACAATTTAGCAAGACTTTACGGGGTAAATTCCCCCCCCCCCCAAAGAAAATCACTGATTCACATCTTAAAGATAGGAAAAACCTACAAGGTAAATTTCCTCTCAAAAATTAAATTGATACAGTTAACCTACAGTAATTCAAAGCAAAAGCAACCATTTTTTAGATAGCAAGACTTTACGGGGTAAATTTCCCCCAAAGAAGGTATCACTGATGCAGTTTTCACTACTCTTAAAAAAAAGTTAACATTACACTTTGAAAATCGCAAAACTCTCCAGAGTAAATTTCCTCTCAAAAATGACATTGATGCAGTTTATATACAGTGTTTGAAAGCAAAAGCAACCATCTTGATGATAGCAAGACTTTACGGGGTAAATTTCCCCCCAAAGAAAATCAGTAATACAGTATTTATGATTCGCTAACATCGTTAAGATGGCAACGATTTACAGAGTACTTTTTCTCTCAAAAATTATATTGATACATTTTATACGCAGTATTTCAAAGCATAAACACCAATCTTGTAGATAGCAAGATTTTACGGGGTAAATTTCCCCCCAAAGAATATCACTGATACAGTATTCACTTTCTTATGAAAGCGAACATTACACTTTGAAAATCGCAGAACTCTACAGTGAAAATTTCCTCTCAAAAATGACATTGTTTCAGTTTATATACAGTGTTTGAAAGCAAAGGCAACCATCTTGATGATAGCAAGACTTTACGGGGTAAATTTCCCCTCAAAGAAAATCACTAATACAGTATTTCTGATTCGCAAACATCGTGAAAATGGCAACAATCTACAGGGTAATTTTTCTCTCAAAAATGATATTGATGCAGTTTATACAAGGTATTTCAAAACAAAAATATCCATCTTTTAGATAGCAAGATTTTACGGGGTAAATTTCCCCCAAAAGAATATCACTGATACAGAATTTTTATTCTTCACAATATCTTGGCGGTAACGAAAATCTACAGGGTAAATTTCCTCTCAAAAAATATTATTGATACAGTTTATCTTATACTTAGAAAAAGCGAACATCACACTTCGAAAATCGCAGAACTCTACAGGGTAAATTTCCTCTCAAAGATGATATTGATACAGTTTATATACAGTAATTAAAAGCAAAAACACCCATCTTTTAGATAGCGAGACTTTATGGGGTAAATTTTCCCGCAAAGAAAAAAACTTATATAGATTTTTTGATTCACAACATCTTAAAGATAGCAAAAATCTACAGGGTAAACTGCCTCTCAAAAATTACATCGATACAGTTTCCATATATTAATTCAAATCAAAAACACCAATCTTTTAGAAAGTAAGACTTTACGGGGTAAATTTCCCCCCAAAGATGGTATCACTAATACAGTATTCAATACTCTTATAAAAGCGAATATTACACTTTGAAAATCGCAGAACTCTACAGGGTAAATTTCCTCTCAAAAATAACATTGATACAGTTTATATACAGTGTTTCAAAGCAAAAACACCCATCTTTTAGATAACAAGACTTTACGGGGTAAATTTCCCCCCAAAGGATATGACTGATACATAATTTATGCTTCGCAATATCTTGGAGATAGTAAAAATCTACGGGGTAAATTTCCTCTCAAAAATATTACTGATACAGTTTACATCATACTTAGAAAAAGCAAACATTACAATTTGAAAAAAAGCAAGTATGTACAGGGTAAATCCTCCCCAAAGAGTATCAATAATACAGCATATATTATTCAAAGCATGAACAAACATTGCAACTCGATGATAGCAAGACTTTACGGGGTAAACCCCCCCTCCCTCCCCCCCCCCCCCCCCCCCAACAAAGAATATCACTGATACAGTTTATATAATTCACAAAATGAAACAAATATAACTTTTTGAAAAAAGCAGAACTTTTCAAGGTAAATTTCCTCTCATAAAATAAATTAATCCTGTATATATTGTTTACAGAAAAAAGCATACATTACATCTTGATGACAAAAAGACTCGGGGTGAATTTCATATCAAAGAATATGAATGATATATTATTTTTATATTACAAACGATACTTTTATCTAAATATCATGCAATCTGGAAAAGCTAAATATTAAAGTTAACATAATATTACGCCTTCTAAACATAGAAAAGCATACATAAACAAAAAAAAAAAAACTCTGACACATTTCTTTCTCTGTTAAAAAAAAATACGATTTCTTTGTTTAAACAGCGTCCTCCTTTACTATCTTTGACCGAGGTTCCACTACTATGCTTTTCTCTTGGCTGATAAAATAGATAGATTGTAGAGTGCATTTTCCGAAGGAAATCTGGCAACCATATTCTGAACCAAACCATAGTCTCCCTATGGATGAAAATTTTAAGTCTCATAAACTTCAATTTCCCAAAGCCTTAGGCATTTATATATGATTTCTTGACAGATATGACTGGTTTAATATTGCGCACTTGAGTAGATCAAGAGCAGCAGGTGCCTGCTTCGAATTTTTGTAAAACAGTCTTTCTGTTTATATTGTATGGAAATTGCATTCATCTAAAGATCCCCCAACACACACTCATATACACACATACATTTATAAATGTTTCTTTTGAGAATGATGCTCATGCGTGATATGGGTCTAAATCGTAAAATAATCAAAAAAGTTAAATGCACTTACTATAGTATTGTATTTGTAATAAGAAAAGTTCAGACAGGACATATAATTACATGTATTACTGATGCCCTCTAGGTCCATCATGGACGTTTTTAAGGGGAAGTGAAAGAGGTAACTGATAGCATATGCAGATAGTTTTACTACAACCTAAATGGTGGTCAAAGTGTTTAACATTTCAGCTTCAGTTATTTCACTAATAAAGAAAGCAACTAAATTCCGAAATCCTTATGCTTGGGCATTGGAATTGTAGATCAGGAACGAATTCAAATGCAGATACTTCATAAAACATACATATATCGTGACATATATAAAATTGTATATTTACCTTGATTGTTCAAGATTTGGACTTGAATTTGTATTTCAGTTCCACCACAAAGCAGTCTCTTTTGTATCGAATCGTCGATAAAAGTACACTTTTGAAACACTCTTAAAGTACTTGCGTGCACAAAACTGAGAGGTCATCAAGCCTGGTTTCCTTTCCCTAATTTGCGTGACCTTTGGCGTGGATGAGCCAGAGAACAAGGCAAATGAACGCTGGACATATCAATACGGCCAATAATATTTCAATTCCCAACTCACTATTCATCATGTAGTGTATATTACAGGGGAACGGACTAATCAACTATACGCATTGCTTTCAAGGAAAATGAGTGAATTTCTCAATGGGTGGTTGCGAGAGAGAAATTGAAGTGATCTATTTATCATTACTTTACTGTTTACTCTTCCGCTGCGTGAATTCCAAATGTTAATCAACCCTCTTACTGGATAGCATTGCGGCCATGTCATAAAACTGACCTAAGTTAAGATAATTTCTCCATCTTCTCAGCATCCATATCTTGATCTATAAAAAGCACAGGTTGCCCTCCTTAAAACTTGGTGACATTTTACATATACTCTACTGCAATTGCATCATCTATTCATGTGGCAGTTAATTATTATTACTTTACAAAATATGTGGTTTCAAAGATGTGAAAAAATTATGAACAGTTATTCTTTTTTCAGTTGATCTTTCTACACTGAAGCAGCCTTAGGTTGAAAAAGAGAAAAATAAACTAAAAAAATAGCTAATGAAAAGCAATATTGATAGAACGTATTCTTGA